GGGGGGGGGGGGGGCGTGAATCGTCGTCCGTGTGGCGGGGCCGTTGTTTCGAGAGGGACACCATCGATCGTGGTCGAAGCAGAGCTCGAGAAAAACCATGTTTAGGAAGAAGGAGCTGGATGTGTTATTATCCCATATAATTTGGGCATCCGTGTTGTACACCTTGTGGCAACTTGATGTGTTAGACGCGGCCAGGGCAAGGGTCACGAAGGAGGATCGCCACACACGAAACCTTCTATATTTCTTCATACGCGTTCGACATGCGGTGCTTGCATAGGACTGTATCACACGCAATGCCTTGGAGTCGGTGGGGAAAGCACAAGTAACGAGAAGGGTACAAAGTATCACGCCTAAAACGACGACTCAACATCAACGTACGGGAAGCGCAAGGGGAGGGGTGGGTGATATCATGTTCAGACGTACATACATAGTCCTTGCAATCGCAGCCAGGACGGGGCATACAGGGTGGAGGTTGTAAAAGGAATCGTGTAACCTTCTTCTCTCCAGCATGAGAGTTTTGGCGTTCGCGTGTGGGTCTGAGCAAAAACATCGAGTTGGATCGCCGAAACGACCACACGCGTAAATACGAGAGCAGCAGTAGCCACATCTTGCCGAGAAGGCAGCGAAGGAAGAGAGAGAGAGCGCGCGAGAGAGAGACAGAGAGACAGAGAGACAGAGAGACAGAGAGACAGAGAGAGAATGTCCCATGTGTACAACACGCCCGAGCCGGAAAAAAAAAACTCACTAGCAGAACGTGGCCAGGTCGTTGGGCCCCGGTGGGCGGTGCGGGTGAGCGTGCGAGGCCCCTATCCCCTCCACTTCCGCGAAGGCGTACACCCGCAGACCCGCGCGCACGGCCTCTCTCCTCTCCCTCTCGCTGATGCCGTCCATCACCACAACCGTCTGGGCGAAGCGGCATGGGCACGGAGCGTCAATACAGAAGAAAATTTCGAACGGGGTTATCTGGGCGAAGTGGCATGGGTATGGGGCGTCAACACAGAAGAACGTTTCGAACTGGGTTGATAATCGGTAGGGGTCGGGCTTTCAGAAGGAGCGGCGGAGGGGGCTGTTGGTGGTTGAGGGGACAACGGGGGTGGGGCTGGAAGGAGAGAGACTGCTGGCGCATGGGTTGGTATGGCATATCTACGCGTCGGCTGTGGAAGAGGCAAAGAGGGCAGAGGCGGGATCGACAAAAAAAGGAAACCGGCTGAGGAGGATTTGGCAACGTGTCATCACAACCTCACTAAAAGCAATGGTACGCCCTAACATGGCTGTACACCGCCGGTGGCAGAGAGTCCCTGGCCGACGGGATTGTTCGTGCGAGACAGCAACACTCGTGAAAACATACAGCACAAAGGGAAAACACACACACACCAACACGCACATGCATGCCTATAGAGCCATTTTGTGTTTTTCAACCGCACTGAGACTGGCGTCTTTTCATTGGCCAGCCGGTGAGCGCGGTAGATGCGAACTAACAAAAACAAAAACAGAAACACACACAGGCACACGCATCAGCACGACCAAACCCAGTCTTCGCATGACAACAAAAACAGCCCTCTCGAGGCGCCCACAACCGACGCAAGGGAACCAGAGACAACCGCTGTACTTGGGCACCTTTAGCGACGGGCACCGCCCCCCGTCCGCAATGGCCACCAGCTTCCGCAGCTCTGCTACGCCCGAACACACCACCGTCGTGAGGCTTGTCTGGGTTATCACGAACTCAACGGTCTCCGGCCCGAGCGTGTCGTAGAGAGGCACGGTCAGGGCAGAGTGGGCGAACGCCGCCTGCAAAAAACGGGATTGGCAGGGGGGGGGGGGCGGGGGGGGGGGGGACACATAGTCCTGCATGCCGTAATCCTTTGACCATTGACCTCGCATCCCTAC